AACCGGTGTCTGAAAGATGAAGAAAAGTTTGGAAATACTCAGCAGGTCTGGCAGCATCTGTAGTGAGAGAAACATAGAGTCACAGAGTCATACAGCACGGAAGCAGACCCTTCGGTCCAACTAGTGCATGCCAACGATGTTCCCAAACTAAACTAGTCCAACTTGCCTCTGTTTGGCCCATATCCCTCCAAACCTTTTCTATTCATGTACTTTTCCAGATGTCTTTTAAATATTGCACTATATACCTGCATCCACTGGCAGTTCATTCCACACAAAAACCACTTTTCCTGTGTTTAAAAAAAAAAAAAATTGTCCCTCATGTCCTTTTAAAAACTTTCCCCTTTCATCTTAGAATGTGCCCCCTAGTTTCAAACTCGCCTACCCTAGGGAAAAGACCATTACTATTCACCTTATTTATGTCCCTCATGACTTTACAAACCTCTATAAGGTCACCCCTCATCCTCCTATGCTCCAGCGGAAAAAGTCCCAGCCTCTCCAGCCTATTTTTAGAACTCAAGCCCTCTATTCCCAGCAACATGCTGATAAATCTTTTCTGAACTCTCTCCAATTTATTAATATTCTTCCAATAGCAGGCAGCCAGAAGTAGCCTTGCTAACATCTTGTACAACCTCAAAATGAAATCCCAACTCCTGTACTCCAAGGTCAAGGTTATAGACATGCTTGTTGAGCTGGTGGTTTTGGTTGCAGACGTTGTGTCACCCTACTAGGTAGCATCATCAGTGCGCCTCTGGTGAAGCGTTGGTGTTCTGTCCCACTTGTTATTTATATGCCTCCGTTTGCAGGGGTGGTTGGTATTACTTGTGGTTCTGTTTCTCAGTGGTGTGTACACAGGGTCTAATTCAATGTGTTTGTTGATGGAATTCCGGTTGGAATACCATGCCTCCAGGAATTCCCTGGCATCTCTCTGTTTGGCTTGTGCGATTATGGATGTGTTGTCCCAGTCGAATTCGTGTCCGTCGTTGTCTGTGTGCCGTGAGACAAATGAGAATTGGTCATGTCTCTTGGTAGCTAGTTGGTGTTCATGTGTCTGTATTGTCAATTTTCTTCCGGTTTCGCCTATGTAGTGTTTCTCACAGTCCTTGCATGGTATTTTGTTTATCACCCCAGTTTTGCTGGTTTTGGAATGGGATCCTTCACATTTGTCAGTAGCTGTCATAGAGTGGTTGTCGGTTTGTGTGCTACTCTGATACCTAGGGATCACAGTAGTCTTGCGGTCATCTTTGAAATATCCTTGATGTACGGTAGGTAATTAGTGAGTCTGGTCATGTTGTGTCTTTCAGTTGTGGTCTGTTTCAGGAGTAACGGCGGATTGTGCTTTTTGGATATCCATTCCTTTTGAAGACTCTGTATTGGTACTCTGTTCTGCTTTGCGTAGTTCTGGGTTGCTGCAATGTGTTGTGGCACATTTAAATAGTGTCTTGATGCAGCTCCGTTTTGTGGGTGCTGTGGTGGTTGCTAGTGTAATTGAGCATCTGGTCCGTATGTGTGGTCTTTCTATATACGCTATTCTGGAGTTCCCTGTTGTTTTTGCGTTCTACCACTGTCCAGGAAGGGTAGTTGGTGGTTGTTCTCTTATTCTTTCGTGAATTTTATTCCAGTAAGGATGTTGTTTGTGTTGGTGGGTTTCTTCTAGTTTTGTGCGTTTAATAATCACGAAGGTGTCATCTACATATTGGACCCAAAGTTTGGGTTGTATAATGGGGAGCGCTGCCCGTTCTAAATGTTTGCATTACTGCTTCTGCAATCAGTCCTGATATTGGGGATCCCATTGGTGTTCCGTTGATTTGTTTGTATATGTTGTCGTTGAAGGTGAAGTGAGTTATGAGGCACGGATCTAGTATCTAGAGGTGGTCAGGTCATCTGTGCCACTGGGAGCAGGGAACATCACTGGATCTGATAACATAGGTAAGTGAGGCAGGGAAGCATTTGCAGGGAGAGCTTCATTGATGAGAGAGGTGCAGAGGGCTGAAGGTAAGTGCAAGAATGGATTTCAGCGGCCCACATCCTCCTTGGTGCTGTTGCCTTTATGGTAGGAAGAGAAAGTATATTATCAAGATGGCAAGTTGCAGAGAGACCCAGCTATCCTATGCTAATGTACAGGAGCAGCAAGTAATTAGGAAAACTATTGGAATGTTTTAATTAATTGTGGGGGAATTGAATACAAAATTAAGTAGGTTATTCTTCATTTCAATATAGGGTACTCGTGAGTACAGTGGAATACTGAATGCAGAATTGGTCACCTTACTTCAGAAAGAACATAAACGTACCAGAAGCAGTTCAGAGAAAGTTTGCCAGACTAATAGCTGGAATTGTTGGGTTTTCTGAGGAAAAGTTGGACAAGCTAGTGTGTATCCACTGGAGTTTAGAAGAATAACAAATCACTTGATTGTAATATGTAAGAACCTGAGGTCTCAACAGAGTGAGGAAAGGATGTTTCCTCTTGTGGGAGAATCTAGAAATAATGGTTGCAGTTTAACAATAAATGGTTGCCCACTTAAAACAAATAGAGACAGTTTTTTTGAGTGTCATGAGTCTTTGAAATTCTCTTCTTGGAAAGGTGGTGATTCAGGGTTTGAATATTTTTAAGGCAGATGTAGATAGATTCTTGATAATAAACAGGGTGAGAAGTTATCAGGGTAAGTGGGAATGTGGATTTGTGGTTAAAGTCAGATCAACCATAGTCTTTTTAAATGATAAAGCAGGCATGAAAGGCCCGCTCCTGTTCCATGTTTGAATGTTTTTTTGATTAGGCCTAGAGTGTCTGACAACAAGGAATTACCACTCCTTTCCAGTAGTTGGCTAGCTAGGCAGCCTTCAAAGGCATGGGAAGGCTGAGTTAACCCTTGAGAGAGATTTTTTTAAAGCAACCTGTTCAGTGACGATATTACACACCACTGGAGCAACTGGGACTTGAACCTAGACCTGGCTTAAAGTTAGGGATACTAGCAGTGTGCCACAAGAGATGACACACACATGCACACGCACATGCTTGTACACATGTGTGCACAAACACAGCCCCACACGTGTATGGAAACTACACTAAGTTCCACTGGCCTGAGCGACAGTTAATGGGTCTAATCGACTTTGAACAGTTAAGTTTCTTGAACATGTCCCATGTTGCCTCTCTGTTAATCGGACGAGGTTTTCACAGCAGCAAGAAACTGATGCCTCTCTTGTGATTGTGGGCCTGGTCACCATGTTTTCTTACACTGGTGTGGAGTAAATCTTACCCACCATTTCAAGTTTGTGACCATTCATGAAAAGAAAGAACAAAGAACAATACAGCACAGGAACAGGCCCTTCGGCCCTCCAAGCGTGCGCCGACACATTTCATACTAAATCCCTTCATTCCCTTCCTGTTCGTGTATTCGTCCAGGTGTTTCTTAAATGCTGCTATTTTGTCTGTTTCTACCACCTCCTCTCACAACGTGTTCCAGGCACTCACCACCTTTTTTGTGAAAAACTTGCCTCTCACATCCCTTGTAAACATTCCATCTCCGCCCCCCCCCCCCCACCGCCCCTCCCGCTCCCCCGCATCTTGAGCCCGTGTTCCCAAGTAATTGACCCCTCCACCCTGGGGGGAAAAACCTCATACTTTCCACTCTATCCATGCCATTCACAATCTTATAAACTTCTTTTAGGTCGCCTTCAACATCCTGTGTTCCAGTGAAAACAAACCCAGTCTATCCAACCTTTCTTCATAGATGAAATCCCCCATACAAGCCAACATCCTGGTAAACCTCTCCAAAGCATCCACATCGTTCTGGTAGTGTGGTGACCAGAACTGTACGCAATACCTTTGGTATTTTGCAATTATCTGAAAGAGAAAGAATGGTTCTGCTTTCATTCTTTGATCCAGATTTTGGTGAAATATTTCATCAGAGATATTGCTCTTCTTTCACCTTTCACTTGTTGATTAAGTTGTTCTGTACTCTGTATGTTTTATTTTCAAGTTTTGAGTAGTGAACATGAACATTTTCTGATAAAAACAATGAGATTTCACTGGTGACCTATTTTAATTTTGTTAGGACAACTGGATTGCACACCAGGATGAGTTTAACCAGCTTTTGTCTGAGCTCAATGCCTGCCACAAGCAGAATGGTAAGTATTTAATTTAGTCCTTCCTGTTTGATGTAGCAAAAGTCAATGGGTGATAACACAGCTAGAGTGAGGCACAGAGGTCACCATTCTTTCCTTCTAAGTGAGTGGCATGATTGAGGCAAAAATTTTATATATCCCTCAATTATATTCAGATTTCTCATGTCACTTTTGAATAGAATTGCTAATTAAAACTTTTTCTAGGATAGAAAATCAGTTTATCCTACTTTAAAAAAGCATTAAAGATACACTGCTGCACCTTCTAAAAGTCAATATATTTATGATTCCTAGTCTTTAAATTAAATTTGCCCAAATTTTCAGATTCACACACTGATCTTTCTGTTGCCTTTGCAACCATGCTCTACGTCTCAGTACACTGCTGTCAATATCCTAGACCCTTGAACAATCCTTCCAAATAACACAGCTTCCACTTCCCAGCATTGTTACACGCACTTCCTAGCTTGTCTACTACCTGAATGCAATCTGGTATGTTTTACATCCCATTTTCTTTTAAAAAAGAACATGTGTTCTTTGGCGAAAGAGAGCCCCTGTTCTTAACCAGATCTGGCCATGTGCAGCTTTGGTTCCTCACCCGTGTGGTTCAGTCTTCAGGGTTTTGGAATCAGTTGTACTAAACTGCTGGACAAAATTACCTATACTGGTTCAAGACGTGAACATAGGAGGTATGGTTAGTAAGTTTGCAGATGACACTAAAATTGGAGGTGTATTGTACAACGAAAAAGGTTACCCCAAAGTACAATGGGATCTTGATCCGATGGGCCAATGGACTGAGGAGTGGCAGATAGTGTTTAATTTAGATAAATGTGAAGTGCTGCATTTTGGAAAGGCAAATCAGGGCAGGACTTCTAAACTTTATGGTAAGGTCCTGGGTGTATTGCTGAATAAAGAAACCTTGGAGTGCAGGTTTATAGTTTCTTGAAAGTGGAGTCGCCGGTAGATAGGATAGTAAAGAAGGTGTTTGGTATGCTTGCCTTTATCGGTCAGTACATTGAGTATAGGAGTTGGGAGGTCATGTTGCGGCTGTACAGGACATTGGTTCGGCCATTTTTGAAGTATTGTGTAAAATTCTGGTCTCCATGCTATAGGAAGGATGTTGTGAAAATAGAAAGGGTTCAGAAAAGATATACAAGGATGTTGTTAGGGTTGGAGTGTTTGAGCTATAGGGAGAGGCTGAATAGACTGGGGCTGTTTTCCCTGGAGTGTCGGAGGCTGAGGGGTGACCTTATGGAGGTTTATAAATCATGAGGGGCATGGATAAGGTAAATAGGCATGGCCTTTTCACCGGGGTGGGCGTAGATTTCAGGTGAGACGGGAAAGATATAAAAGGGACCTAAGGGGCAACTTTTTCAGGCAAAGGGGGATGCATATATGGAATGAGCTGCCAGAGGAAGTGGTGGAGGCTGGTACGAATATAACATTTAAGAGGCATCTGGATGGATGTATGAATTGGAAGGGTTTAGAGGGATGTGGGCCAAATGCTGGCAATGGGGCTAGATTTATTTAGGATATCTGGTTGGCATGCATGAGTTGGACCGAAGGGTCTGTTTCTGGACTGTATATTCTGTTAACCTAAGTAGAAGTCTAATACCAGTTTCTGAAGGCAACTTGGGAAAGAGTAAGTACTCGCCTTGCCAGTAATGTCCCCTCTTGTGCGTAAATGTAAAATGGAGGTTAAATTTATATTATATTTGGCTGACCATTTAAAACGTAGTGAAGGCCAATGATGAATGCTTCCCTGCAAGTACGCACTTAATGGTAGAATTTGAGCTTAATAACATTAATAAACCAAACTCTAATAGAAACACAATTTGCCTTATTCATGATCATGAATTGGTGCCTCTGCAAAGGCATTGCATGTTATGTGGTGTAAAAGTGTTTCCTGCCATGGAATACATAATTTCTCACTTCAGTGCTTTCGTGTTTGGTCAGATCCTGCTGTTAAGGGGTGTAGGGTATGTCTGGAGTTACATACTTGTTTTACTGATTTCGAAGTGTTAACAATTTTGAGTTACAAAGTGCTAGTTTAGATTGTATTCTGCATATGGAAAAATATTCCTAAATTTTCAAGATGAGTATTGGTGGACTGGTTTTTTTATATTTGTCAAAACACTCTGAAGATCACAAAATGACAAACAATACTAGATTCACCATATCTCTCACTGTGCCACAGTTTATAGAGGAAAGCAAATAAAATAGCAGGTGGATGAAGAATATGAACCAGTTCTTGCCCCTTATTCAGTTTCCAGGCCATAATGGCTCAAATTTCACAGTCGGTAGAATAACAACTGCACTCACTGCTGACCTTGAGAAAGTTACCCCCAAAGATCTAATGATCTTTGTAGTATATATCTTGACATTAGTTAGAATTTGCTGCTAAGCCAGAATCTCAAAATATCCAACAACATTCATATTATCAATTCGGTAGGCATGTAATTACATTGAAGTATTTTCACGGACAACCAACCAGGAAGTAAAATAGACTGAACTTTCCACTTTTTTAGTTAAAAATTTACAGGAAGAATAATGAATGATTGGGACAAGGGTGCAATTTGTAATATCATAAACTTTGAAACTAATTATTTTTCATCAAAATGGAGAAATTTAACATTTCACACCATAAAATTAGACACTGAGTCTCTTAGCAACTATGATGTTTGCATGCTCTTAAAAACCCGACTACATCTCATTCAAAAAAGTTCACCTTTCCATGAGTGTTTACGGCAGTCCATTGGCATAAAAGATTTGGGTGCTTCAACAGCGCACGCTGTATGTTGAAACACTGAATTCTTGACTTTTGACACTAGAGGGTACTGTTGTGTAACTTCTATTGCTTTTCATGATTAAACTGACACATTTTATAGAATGTTTGTTTGAGAAAGCAAAGACGAGGGACTAGATTTTCACTACCAAGGTGAGCATCTCCAGCCGGGTTAGATAGGAGAGTTGAGCGTGGGTTGAGTTGATGGCTTTGAGCCTACTGACCACTGAAGTAGAGCGTGGGTGTCCACGGGTGTGCACTGCAAAGGGCTGGTCAGAAGACTCACTTTTTTGTTTCAAAGGCTGTTAGTCTCTCTAATTCTCACCATTAATGATTCACCACTCTTACCCTCCATGAAAACCCAGTGCCACCTCATGCTGTCTCTTCCCCCTCATGCCACCTCATGCTGTCTCTTCCCCCTCATGCCACCTCATGCTGTCTCTTCCCCCTCATGCCACCTCTATGTTGACACAGCAAGTATCCGCCATGGGAGAATCTCTGGAAGCATATAAAAATAAGAGAAAGCTGACAATCTGATGTAACCCTTGGTCATAACCACTCGACAGTGAGGGAAAAAGTAGCTCCCAATTGCAAATCCGTTCAAAGCTTTTAAATTTAAGGTGGTTAATATCTTATAAAAACATTTAAACCTTTATGCAAGCCGCACATTAAAGACAGCTAATCCTTTAAAAGCCTCTTTAAAATGTAAATCAATCTGTAAATTAAGAACTGCCTTCTGAGAGTGTTATGGCTTTTGATACACAGCCAAGCATTCAATAATAAAAGTCATTGGGGAAATGTCAGCAAAGAGCACTGTTGAAGTTGTATGATCATATGATACTTTTTTTCATAACTTGCAGCATATAGCCTTTAAACAAAGTTGTTCAGCAGAGAGTTTTTATTAAGTTTTTTACAAGTTTAAAGAGCAGGGAGTTTAAAACCATTTTAGATCAAGGTCATTATATAGACCCTGTCCATTCTTCAAGAGAGTTTGTGTCATAAATTTATGATTTCTGTAGTTGTAACTGAGGAGTTGCATTGGGCAATATTAACTCTCATTTTCTCTCCACAGATGCTGCCACTCCTACTGAGAATTTCTAGCACTTACTGTGTTTAACTTCAGATTTTTAATTTTTATTTTATTGAGCTTTTTTGTTTTTTGGAGCTGCACTCATTAAGGCATTTAATCCTTAAGGCATGAGAGTAATCCATCACATCCCTGATGAATATCTTGTACAGAATGGAAGTTTTAGGGACTCAGATCGCAAGAATTCTCAGTCTCTAAGCTTCTTTTATAGCATAATGTTTGTAGATGAAATGTTATAGGGGTTGAACCATGTGGACCATGGTGACATTAATGACAGAATTGCACAAGAAATGTGGTGAGGCCTATCTTGATGTCGGGATCAACTTGCTGCATCCTTGACATCTCTGGCAGGCTATGAAGCATGTTTCTTGCTAAGCAGTGGCGTATTGCCTATTAAGGTGGGGGTGGAGGACTTATTGCTCATTAAGGACATTATTAATGGCACATATTGCCTCATTAGTATGCAGCTTTCTATCTTAGCAAATGTGCCAAATGAATTAGATGCCAAAAATTCTTGATGTAGAAATCAGCAGATACCTGATATCTCTAGCTCACCGCTACACCTTGGACTGCAGTGGCAAATATCATTCTAGTGCTGCTGCAAGGATACTTTGCGCTCAAGGACATGCACACATGGACTGGACCAAGCTGCATATCTTAGTCTATTCAATTGCTCACTCATTCAGAGTCTACCTGGATGCTCGCAGAATCTGTGCTTTGCCATTGCCTTGCCTTTTTGTGCTTTGTCTCCTCAATCAGAGATGTCAGGCTCACAGTGCTGCTGTACATCCATGCCGTTTAGCACAGACATAAAGAAAGGACACTTGTCAAGCCAGCTTCTAATACCATCCAAGGGCTTGGTTATGGTCAGAGAGACTTTTAGGGCATTCTTCATGGAGCCGAATGCCAGATAGCACTCTGACTATTTTGACTCTCCCTGCCCTATTTTGGGCTGCTTTCTTCATGAAATAAAAGAGTGCCGGTTATCAAAGGAGATGATAGTGAGTGGCACAGCTGTCGCTTTTGGTGCCCCAAGCGAATGAGTAGACAGTGCAGATGGCATGCAAGGTTAGTGTATGTCAAGTTGCATGTGAGTGAGTAAGGGAAGATACTGAGTTAAATAATGAGTGGTAGAGC